CCATTATTCAACCTGTTTACTTACTTCGAATAGCATTGACAGAATGATCAGTAAATACTGTTGGGTGTGGACCACAGTAAATACTGTTCGTCTGACTTTCGTCTATGTTATCTAAATGGGCAGTTTCGAAAATTTTGAAAACCTTCAGATACATTGGCAGAGACCCCCTATGTGAAACAGGTTATGCTGAACTATGCTACTTTTCAGCAGATTCAGTCCATATTCTGCATTTGAGTTGTCATACTTCATGCAGCGCTAACTCTTAGCGGCTAAGTATAACTGATCGTAACCATGGTTTTTCCAAATGGGTAAACTGTAAAGAGGAGGAACTAGGCGAAAATATAAGGTTACCCTGCTATTAAAGTTATCACCAGAGACCTTCGAAATATATTGCGCTTTGAGCTAAGCGTTTTGCAACTAGCCAATGATTTCTGAATTGTCAATCTCATCTTTAAAACATGACCTTATACATTCACCTGACGACCTGATACACAGAAACATGAATAGCAAGATAACTGAACATCGTCTAACTTTCTAACGTACCTATTGGATCTCTGTAATGCGTTAGCAAAAGGAAACAGATAGTTGTATGAAAGGGTTATAAAAGAATAGTGCTGTACATCAAATAGACTACTATGCAAGATTTTTTTGTCTTTTGAAAAAGCTGTATCTCTTTTGGGTTATATGGAAATCAAACTAAAATTTTAGCTTCAATTTTATTCCGTAAAAAGGTATACCTACGCAGAAATGAGGTCTTGAACAGAACTAAGGTCCTTCTAAATCGATGAGGCATATATATTCCTCAAATATCTTTTCCCTTCATCTTTTTATTATACTGAAATTCATTTTTGTAATTTGTTTGAATTGTTTTCCAGACCAAAAAGTGTTTTTAGTTGCCACAAGTGCTGATATAGTTTATCACAGATAAGCCTTGAATAACCATTTTACATATAACTGTACAACATTCAGGGGTTATGTACAAAGCAGGTACATGAAATTATTGTAGTCCATTTATGTACAGAAAAGAGAATGAACGTCACGTCACTAAAGCTTTTGTTTGAGAAGTTTAGGTTTCAACCTAGGTAAAGTCAAACTCTGAAGAAAATAGTGCATTAGCTGCAGTTTCTTTATTCTAATATAGTAGATGCATATTTGAAATTTCACCTTCAACAAACAAATGTACCTTTGAGGTAGTTTGTAGTGCTCCAGAATGTAAAAGATACGACGATAGACTATTGTTGTGCTATAGCAATTAATTTTGAAATAGCTTCCTTCAAGCTTGTCCTCCAAGCAGTTTGACTGTGCATAAAATACAATATTTGTTGAAGACGAGTTTCATTTTCCCAAAAAAATAAAAAAATATGTTTTTCAGTGGGGATAAGAAAACGATCCTCGTATTTTCTTTCATTATCATTCGTTTTCTTAAACCGTATTCCGTCATTTTCTTATGATTCAACTAAAAAGATAACCCAGATTGCGATCTGTATTCTGGGATATCTGAACAAATTGAGGAACGGTTTTCATTTTTATCTCATGATTTATTCAAAGCGATGGTCATCTTTCCCTTCCGTGTAAAACTACTGTAGGGCTATGACAATGACAATTTAATCAAATATGGGCTAGTAGCACACGTCGAACATACCACTTAAGTTTGCACGGGCCATGTTTAAACCGTGGCCAGCTAACCACAGGATTATGCATTTCCGTGTTAATGTACCATTCCGTGCTTAGAGATGGGGCAACACTAGTTCATTTACGCTAAGAGCAGCACGAATCACGTGCAAAAAAATAATTGAAGATACAAGTGGATAAAGGTATCATGTAAATTTTTTTTTAAATTTCTTTTTTTGGCATTAAACTAACCTTAACACTTTCCTACTCCGCCAACGCACCAGGCGCGTTCAGTCTTGTTTACGTTCGGTGCCACCAACGCGCCTAGCGTCTTTTGTGTATTTACTCACTAAGCAAGTAGTTCATATTCTGTTAAAGGTAGACGTCAAGAATTTTCACGAAAGTGACATGTTTTAGAAATACTGTTTCCGCTTTTGACTATTTTTGGTATATTGGTATATTATAGTTTATCTTTGTGTAAAAAGCAAAAACTATAAATAAAACGTCAGGAATTTCATGAAAGTAACTTCTGTGAGTAATACAGGTTTCACTTTTATTATTTGTATCCTTGGGTTTTATGTAAATTTGGTTTGCAAATGTTACATTTTTTGTATTTCAAATGTTATTGACATTGCAATAATTCAAAGTGACACTCGCATGCTATATGCCGCCAACCCGCGTTCTTTTCATTTGTATGACGTTCTTGTCTTTAAGGTGCATTAAACTTCTGAAGAGACAACCTAGACTACTTCATACAAGATTTGTGGAAATTACTTTTAAAAATACACGTGGCACACAAGTAGGGTTGCCATCCGTCCCGATATATCGGGACTGTCACCGTTATTAGGCCTTATGTCTCGACGTCCAGATTTGACAGCGATAAGTCCCGATTTATGACTTGGATCACAAAACAAGTATTCGGTATTCGAGATTTACCGATTTTTAAATTTTAAGATGTTATTCTGGTAAACCGCAAAACCAAACAATATCCAGTTTTTGCCTGAATACATTAAGAAAACTAAACCTATCACTTGGAAAATTGAGTGCTTTTTGTGGCGACAACGCCAATACAAAACTTGACGGCGTTTATAGACGCGGTGAAAAAAACGTACACTTTAAATCAAAAACTGAAGTAGGAAGAGATACTGAGGGCATTGGATGTCCTGCTCATATTCTACACAACACCATTTCAACCGCTGCAAGCTTATTATCTGTTGATGTCGAAGTTATCGTCCTTAAAATATTCAATTATGTTTCGAGATATACCATTAGAACCGAGAGACTAAAGGAGTTTTGCGATTATGCAGACGTTTCTTACAGTAATTTGTTGTCGCATTCAAGAACGAGGTGGCTGTCATTGTTCCCTGCGGTTGAAAGGATTTTAAAACTATGGACTCCACTAAAACGTTTTTTCAGTTCCGAAGAGAAACCGCCCAAAATTATTGCAGATTTTTTTGCCAACCCACTCAGTGAAATTTATTTGATGTTTAGACATTCGCAGCTCTTTTTGTTTGAAAAGAATATTAACAAAATTGAAAAATCAAAAATATGTGTCATAGAAACTAAACGACTGCTAGATGATACCAAAGAATCGTTGACTGAAAGAAAGACAAAGAAATTTATTGGAATTCAAACAAAGATAGAGGTAACTAAATTAAAAGAGAAGTCGTCAGAAGAAGTTATAAATTTAGTACAAAAATTCGAATCAGAAGTCATCGATTTTTTTGAAAGAGCTATTGGATATCTTGAGAAGTGGTCGCAATCATTTTGATTGGATGCATTTGTCTCATATACCAGAATGGGAAGACATAGAAAAGACAATTATGTATTTTATTTCAATTGATATACAAATTTCGGGAGAATCTTGCTTTGACCAGTTTATATATTTGAAAAATTTCTTGACGACCAAAGTAGATCTTCTGTCCGAGGAATGGCATTGTAAATCTGTTGAAGAAAGATCAATTCACTTTTTAAAAAACACCGGCCATTTGGAACAGAAATCAGAATTCATTAAAATATGTGAATACTTATTTTCAATTCCTTCACACAATGCCAATTCTGAGAGAATTTTTCCTTAATGTCAACTCAATGGACCGACGAAAAGAACCGCCTGTTGGCACAATCTGTAGAAGCAATTTTGCAATGTCAGTATAACTTTAAAATGACGAGTGCTGAATTTTATAAGTATATTAAAATGCAAAAAGATATTTTAAAAAAAGTAAAATCCTCGGAAAAATATCTTTCAGCTTCAATTTTTGTTGGCTTCTTTTGTACCTATTTACCCCTAGAAGTTTTAACTGAAATACCCTGTATACCTTTTATGTTTGTTAGTTAAGAAATGTTATAGATTATAGATAGTGTTCATAATGTTTGCATTTTATTTTTGTTGAATAAAGTTTTTTCCCCCCTGGTGAAAGTGTCCCGACATTGGCTAAAGTATTTATGGCAACCCTACACAGAAGGCGCTTATTAGTAAAGATGCCGGGGGTGAACGTGTTTTAAGGAGTGATTCTTTCATTCTGTGATTATTTTTTTGCAATAACAACACAATAAACTGGACATTTAAAATTTCGATAAAATAAAAAGTGCTAATAAAAAATGTTTAGTCATTTTTCTCCATACAACGATTTTGCTTATCCACTTGTGTCTTCAATTAGATATGATTGAAAATGACAGACGTTTAGTCGAATCGAGTTATGAACAACTTAAATTTGAAACAGGCAATTCTCTTTTGATCTGACAGATGATGACAGTGAAATATTATCACCACTACCATTGCTCAGGTGGTCGATTTAGTTTTCCCCACTAAGCACTTCGCTCCTGTTGAAACAACATGGCTATTGGTATTGCGTTAAAGGTTTAGCTTAGCCCGGAGCTTTGGAATGGCTACATGTCCCCTGTTAGCGACATCTTTGAAACAGGGTGGATGCGTGACGTGTATGGCCTACCTTTATGTTAATCACAGGAGATCGTTTGTCATTTGACACATATACAACTAGGTATCTGAATTACATAAATAAATATTATTTTCGAATGTCTGTAATTACCATTCGAATTAAAAATAAATCATGAGTGGTTTGTATTTCTACGAATTGCATTTACTTATACCTGCGAAAGTTTTAGAATTGTAGGTGAAAAACCATCCATGGCGTCTATTTCCGTTCCACTTTTGATATATACGTATATGACAAATAACATACGATGAACCAATGTGTACGCAAGTCAAATTGTGTCATTAACGTCTGTGCTTTTGCCGAAGAGCGACACAATCAATATATCTTTATTTTTTTTCGCAAACTTCAGTTAGACAAAAATACACAGAAGCTACTATAGAGAATCAATGTACAGTGCGTGAAAATACGGTACGTTAGATCGAACAAATAACTCACCTTGACTTGGGGACTGACTAAATAGAGGAGTGGATTGGCCCTCAATCGTTCCTTCTCGTCTTGTTGACGTCGAACCTCCTCCCTCCGTGCGGAACTTAGGTAGGAGGTCTCCTCCCTTGACATCGGGCCCGTATGGCGAGGGAGCTCTTGGAAATCGGGAAGAGATTTCTTGCGTTGAAGAGACGTTTGCGTTGCCAAGTTCTAGATAGAGAAAACATACAGTATGTTATCACTAATATACAGGGTGTTTCAGTTTATTGTTGCATAACTTTAAGATTCGATAGAACTTTTGAAATTAATGCATAAAGTCTATATAAACATGAGTGGCTTCCGAAATACAGGGTGTTTAAATTTACTTTCTAAAATAGTTTTTTTAAATATTTCGAACAATATTTGATGTGAATTTTCGTTATGGTTAGCCGTTTTTGAGATATTTCGATTTTTAAGGTTCGATGCATTTTTAATTATTTATGATAAAATAACGTTAAAAAGTCAGTATCTCGATAATTTTTAAAAGTAGGCTGTGCCTGCAAATATTTTTGAAATTGAAAGCAGAATAAGGTTAAACGTCAATTAGTTGACAGTTAGTTTTGTTGTCTGTTGAAACCTGAAACGTTTTTTTGCAATTGTGAATGCACGAAATTTAGTTTCTTTTACCTGTTTTTTTTTGTAAGTTTTATAAAAATGCCATTTTTATTCTCTAATCAAGAGTTAGCGGATATTCATTTTGTGTATGGCTTTGTAAATGGAAACGCAGCAGAAGCAGCCAGAGAATACGCACGAAGATTTCCAAACAGACGACATCCAACTCGCTTAGTATTTGTAAGAGTGCATCGCCAAATAATTTAAAATGGTTTTGGAAATCTCCAAAGGGATCAAAACATAAATGTTCGTCAGCGCCGATTTACCCGTATGATTCTGCGTGAGTTTGATAGAGATCCGACCACAAGTGTTAGGAGAGTTTCTGGTGCCTTGGGAATTTCAGCAAGCCATGTTCACCGTGTTCTTAGAAATGACCATAGACTTCCTTACCATTTGCAACCTGTGCAAGGACTACAGCCAGGGGACGGAGAACGAAGAATCACATTTTGTCAGTGGATTCTTGATAGAACTGATAATAATAGGGAGTTTTTAAGTAACGTTTTATGGACCTATGAGTCCATCACTAGACGTGGAGTGGTAAATTTTCATAATCAACATATTTGGTCGCATAAAAATCCGCATGCAGTTCGGAAAAGAAATTTTCAGCATGAATTTAGTGTGAACGTGTGGATTGGTATCTACCGTGAACGACTATTTGGACCCTACCTTTTGCCTGCAAGGTTAAATGCTGCGACCTTCTTGGAATTTTTAAAGGCTGAACAAGCAAATATGTGGGATGATGTTATGTTAGATTTAAGAAGATTGGCCTGGTTCCAGCTTGATGGTTGTCCAGCTCATTATTCGTGAATAGTTAGAAACTGGCTGGACGAAAATTATCCAGAAATATGGATCGGGCGTGGAGGATCAGTCGCCTGACATCCACGATCCCCTGACCTAAATCCATTAGATTTCTTTGTGTGGGGATTTCTAAAAGAAAAAGTGTACCAGACTCCCGTAACCACAAGAGATATGCTAATAGACAGAATCAGGAATGCATGTGATAAAATAAGGCCTTATTTGAATAATGCTATACCACGTTCGATCATTCGTAGATGTGAATTGTGTATTGAACAATTGGGTTTACATTTCGAGCAACTACTTTAGATTTTGTATGTTTGTCCTAACTATCCAATAGCATTTTAGTTGTAAATAATTAATTTAATTTGTTAAAAATAATATTGGAAAATTAAACAAATTAATATTCTGTTTTTTTGTGTTTATTTGGAGTTAGGAATTATTGCTGTGTTTAAAAACACAATCTGAACGATCATCTTAATTACTTGTAATGCCCAAATCGAAAATGTAAAAAATATCATTTTCAAATAAATAATTAAAAATGCATCGAACCTTAAAAATCGAAATATCTCAAAAACGGCTAACTATAACGAAAACTCACATGAGAGCTTTTTTATGCAGAAAAGTGCGAGGAATCAGTTTTTTTGTTCAAAAAGCAAAAGAGAGAGAGAGAGCGCCCTCTAGCGGCTACAGTAAAACTATGACCATGGTTCGTTTTGTCGTACCAAAAAACTCCTGTATACCAATTTCCACTGTTATACATCAAATATTGTTCGAAATATTTAAAAAAACTACTTTAGAAAGTAAATTTAAACACCCTGTATTTCGGAAGCCACGCATTTTTCGACCCATGTTTATATAGACTTTATGCATTAATTTTAAAAGTTCTATCGAATCTTAAAGTTATGTAACAATAAACTGAAACACCCTGTATAGAATTGCGTTAATACTCAAAGAGTTGGGAAACCGAAACAAGGTAACATATGTTAGCTGTGGATATCAGGGCATGAAGGGCACAACGGAAATTAGAATGCGGATGACCTAGCCCGACAGGGCCCAACCAATCGCCTTATAGATCCAGATCCTTTCTACGGCATGATGGAAGCATGCATCAAACAATACATACCTACACGAGATTACACGATATAGTTTAGTATCAAGAGAAAATTGAAAATAGTCGGTCTGAAAGTCAGCTTCTTCTTACTCCAAATCATACCCCTGCGAACTTCCCCTCAAATCTGTATCTTATCAACTATCGACGCCTTATTGAGGCATATTTGGCTCCATATCATTATTTTCAATAGTACTCTTTCACGGACTATCCTGTAGACTCATATGAAAAGCCAAAACAGTATGATTCCACTCTTGATTTCACGATGGAAATCGTCCAATATTCGGTATCACAGCATATGAATGAAAAAACTGTTCAAAATACTAAAAATAAACCAGTGCTAAGGCCAGGACAATTTTGAGGTCGAGATACAGTCTTTAAATGTGGGGTACTGTTGAATCGTTATAGATTTAAAAAAGTAAACTTGGCGTCGCTTATGTTTCATTTGTAGTTGTTTGACCAGATGATTTATATTTCAGACAAGGAAATAGTATTTCATACGAAGAGAGCTGAAAGTTTACTAGTCAATGTCTAACGTCATTTGTTATATTGTAAATCGTTGGTTAAGATTGATTAGAAGCTCCTCTATTACCTATTAAGAATTCTTGGATACTCACATTTTTGACAACATAATATATCCGTTTTTCTCCTGTAGAAAAACCTATGAGATAATAGCTAGCCATTCTTGCCTTGGATAAGTAAGGACAAACGGAACAACCATACTAATATAGGATGAATATGCAATAATTGGGCATATAGTGTTATGTCACAAAGGTAGATATAATTTATTAATGCCACGCTCAAGGACTTGCTTTTTGGGACTTATCTTTTAATTAATTTTTTTTTATACTCCAACTACCACGAACGCCTAAGGCCTAAACACCCATTGGGTACCGTGGGGCTATGGGGGGTATACAGGGGAAAGGGGGGACGCCACACGGACTCTGGCAAGGGAACACGTGTGCATGCAACATCCACACATTCTGGCTCCGCCTACGAGATCCGCCGAGTGGTACCTCCACGTTCGACAGTCAGAGACCGTCTACCACCTACGGACAATCACAACATCCATAGCCAAGAAAAAAATTTCTCCTGGGACGGGACTCGAACCCGCACAGCGCACGGCGACTGATCAGGAGACCGAAGAGTCTACTACTGCGGCAACCGCTGCTGCCTAATAGAAAGTTATATATTTTTTACAGTGTGTGATATGTTTATGTATAAATACTTGAGTTTGAAGATTATCATCGTACAGTGCGATAGCGATTCTTTTGCAATTGATTGCTGTCTCAAAGAAATCGCCTTCTTGCAAAAACCCCCATCATCAACTGTTCGATTTCGGAATTACCCTAACCATGTAACTATTGACTAAGAACAATGTCAACAGAAAAAGCTCAGTATAAAGCATCAATAAACGTCACGTTAACATTCATTAACATATTCCACCCGAAGATACGACCCAATTGAAAGCTGTGCCTACGCGATAATAGGCATACATGCCGTAGCGCCACCAACCACATTATGTAAACAACTATACAGGGTGTTTCACAACTTATCCGACAAATTTTAACCACATATGCACTTTTACTAAAGAAGTTAATTTCTCAAAAAAGAAATGTAATAAAAGTCCTACCGAAATTAAGTTTTGAACCTAAGTTTCAATAATAAATTGAAAAACAAAATATAAGGAATTTTTTGTTTTTTCATACTGATAAAAACGTGTAAATAAGGCTTAATCTGTATCGTGGGTGATCTGAATGAAGAACGGTCGATTTTTGTGAAGCTGAATAAGAAAGTATTTTGCGAAATTATGTTATTTATTTATTAATAAAAATGGTACATATGTCCACTAATGAGGAGTTAGTGGACATTGTTTTAGCGTACGGAGAAGCAGTGCCAAATTCGCGAGCACCGTTTAAAAGTTCATGATTTTTTGAATCAGGTGTACCAGATACGCTGGATCGGAAGGGGTAGACCAACTGCATGGCCTCCACGATCTGCCGATCTAAATTCGCTGGACTTCTTTTTGTGGGGATACTTCAAAATCGAGGTCTTCCGTACTCGGAATATTGAAGAATTGCGTAACCTAATCACAGTGGCTGCCGATAATTTGAGCCTTCAGACACAGCAGGAAGGAGGTGTATTTCAATTAGTCTGCCGAAATTGGATTAGACGCGTCCAAGCTTGCATTGTAGTCAATGGAAACAATTTTGAACATATTTTATAACTAAGTGAACTATTAAACTGAATGAAATGAACTTCTTTCGTAACAGTGCATATGTGGTTAAAATTTGTCGGATAAGTTGTGAAAGACCCTTTATATCTGTCCACCAGCCTCTTTAAGTATAATCGTTGCCACATCTCCGACTATTTCCTCAGGTTGCAAGGTTTTATTTTTTCGTCGTTAAAAAACTCTGAGAATACGAAGTCTTAGGAATAATCACGAAGAAGGGCAAAGTCACCTTAGAAGATTTATGTCACGTTTAAGAATAAACAATTTACTTTAGTGTAAAATAGAGTCTGTTTTTATTAGTTCCAAAGGAATCACTGTGACTCTACTTGACAAGGTAGTTGTAACGATAGAAATTGTGAGTGAACGTCCAAATACTGAATATGTTTGTTGCAGATTTATTTAGCATTAATACAATATCAA